ACTTTTTAGTTAATATATGTTTATATTAAAATCTTCTTCCTCATTGTTGGATCATCTGTCTTATTATTCTTGATGTTTCATTTTCATATTTGTCCCTTTTGTCATATTTTCCTGCTTCTGAAAATGATCTGTCTGATATTCTAGGCCTTAGCCAAAGCTGGTTGTCCCAACATTGCAAAAGAGACTTCGGGTGATTGTTCAGGTGGCCAGCTGTCTCTGTCATTTCTTGCACCTTTTGGAAGTCACTTGCTTGCACTTCCTGCTTACTTGGTTAATATTAATTTCCTTACCAGGTCTTTGATAGAGTTAAAGACTTGTTGGTCATAGCTACTTTCCTCTCATAACTTAGCTAAGACATTTTTAGTATAAGACTTTTCAGGATAGAACAACTATTAAAATAATCTGTTATTTGCCCATTACCTTACTGGACAGTTAGCATGTTTTTCTTGCCATGTTGGTTGTAGTTCTATTTTTGTGTATATTTTCACTTTTTCTTTCTCCTGAACAACACTTGATATTTGTTCTTACTCTACATAGTTTTATATAGGTTTAAAACCCTCTTATTTAGACAAAAGTCAGAGGTGTTGCGGGAATTGATTCAGACAATTGCCTTTTAGGTACCGGTCCATTGGGACATGGTCTAGGGTACTACATGTGGACTGATAAGTGCAGATAGAAAGCGTGCCACTCTCTCGAGATGGTGGGACTTCTGTTCATAGCTCCCAGTGTCCAGAGAGGACCACGGCTCTCTACCCTTGTTGTGAGGCTTTTCCCAGATAAATACTTGTTATCCTTTATCCAGGGCTCTCTCATGGACTTCCTTAATTGAATCTACAATCCGTACTTGTTTGACAGCTTTTTTTTAATTAATATGTTCATTTTCTCTCTCCAAAAAGTAAAAGTTGGCATAACTTAAACTCAGTTTTGAAACCTCTTTTTATGTAATTTCAACTAAGTAAAATTATATTTCTCTCTCTCTCTCTCTCTCTCTCTCTCTCTCAACACACACACACACACACACACACATGCACACACACACCTCACACACACATACACCAGATTAAAGTAAAAACACACTCAAAATTACTTTCTGGATATGTATATAAATTATATATGAAAAAATTAATTTTGGGTTTATATTTGAGTCAAATCTTCAAGACATTTCATAATATATATTAGGTAAAGCACCCCAAATGACTAACAAAATCAACTTGCTGATGAGCAAATATGAAATATATTAATATTCTTAAATTTTTGTTGAGAGTACTTTACTGAACTGGTTTGATGTGTAATACACTCTCTAAAGTGCTTCTACTTCCTTATTTCAAATAACTAGGACAAGGCTGGATACATTCTCAACACTTAACCACATTATTTTTATTCAGTGATTGTGAGAGTGACCACAACTGGAGACACGTTATATTCTTCATTTATCTCTTGCTCTGGAAAAAAGCAGGAATGATAAACATTAGTCAGAGAGAGTGTACATCATTTTTACTGGATCCAAGATTCATTATATTCTCCAATGTACTTGCTGTATCACAGAGGGTGCATTAGAGAAACTATATTCCATCTGGCCTGACTCACTAGGGCAATATGTATTTGATGGGACTGTATTTAACAAAGCCTTCCTGACTCCCACCTCTCAGAGATTATCTGTCTTCCTCAGCAGATCTGTAAACTCCTCCTTACTGCTTGCTAGATTTGCTTCAAACCTTCCTTGGGCAGTTCACTGACAGTAGAAAGACCTCTCTGCTTCTTAAATCAACATCACATTAGCTCCTTAAAATGATGTTACAACACATTGCCCAAGTCACATAGTTCAACTAATTCCAGTCATTCACTAGTGACCTAGACATTTTGTCTAACAAAGACAGATCAGTTGCCTCAGTTTTTTCTGTAAGTTCTCAGGCAACTATAAAGGCTGTTAGAGGACAGGATATTGTGCAGAAGGACTGAAAACTGCAGATGTTAATATAATCCAGATTTCATTCAGATTTTTTTGTTATGGCCAAGGCTGATGTGAGAGGAATCTGGAACAAGTATCTTATATTACTAGAAGAGCTCAGGAGTCACCATAGCTTTTGTATTTAATCTCAGTATTTAATGTTCTCTACCAAGCCTGAGCCTGGAGGTTGGAAAGAATACAGGGCTAGGACTCAAACATGTTCAGGTTTAATCTCACTTCTACAGACAACCATAATTTAGAAACATGACCAGGTACTGTAGGATTCTAGATCTCAGTTTATACCTCTGTGAAAACAACATACTTCAAGATTTTTGTGGTATTAAAATCTTAAGAACCCTGTGACTCATACTTTACAGGATTCTAAGCTATTCTGAGTGTCCGTTTATCTACAGCCACCATACTGTCACTTGCTATAGGAAAAATGAGTCAATCAGGAAGACGGTTCACCAGTTCCCTCACAGCCTTCCTCTTCCTGTTGACTTTAGATAAAGGAACAGTTTTCCTCAGGCTTGTGGATACCTTTTGACCTAGATGCTGCTTTAATGACTAGGACGTGGCATTCCATATGGCTGTGGAAGTCACTTCCCCTCCCACACGTCTCAATGTCTTAGTTCTGGAAAGTCAGAGTTGCCCTCAGACATTTAAATTCCCAATAACATTGGAAGCATTTCTCTCATGGTTATAAAACACTCACACTCTTGTGTTCTTCAGTTATAAGGGGTAAATTCTGCCATGATAACCTGGCTTGACAATCTCAAACTTGTAACTGTCCTTCTTGTTCCACTTTTGTTCCTTAATGGTCAGAGCTGCCTTTCAGGATGCACCCTATATAGCAAATAAAAGGGGAAAGAAACTAACATGCCCCAAGTGTTTCCACCCTGTCTCTGAGGTTGTTATACCTCAGGGGGAAAAAAAAGAGGCCTCTTAAGTCCCAATTCCACCCTCAGCCAGTTACTCTGAGTGTGCTGCCTGATTATACTACCATTTCTTGGTTGAGAAGCTCACCCCCTTAGATCATTGCAAAGTGATGTCTAATCCTCGTGTCTCCTATGCAGAGAGGTGCCCTCTGAGCTCAACCCATGGAGAGAGCTGATGGGAAGTAATCGTAACTTTCCACCCCACAAGGCCATTCCCTATTGCATGTCCTGACCCAGGCTAACATCATGTTAAAATAGTGCGCCAAGGCTGTTGAGGGCAACCTGACCAAGTGGGATGCAGATGGCTCTGTGCCATCCAGCATGACTCTGGCCACCTCTGTGCTTTCCATCTGACCTGCATCACACATCTTGACACAGCACTGTACCTTATTGAAAAAGTAACTGAGGCTCAGGAAGTTTCAAAGAAGAAGAAATAAAATCCAGATCTCCAATTTCCAAGTGTTTCCCCCCAACACAGCAACCAACTTCCCAAGAGAACAAAATTGCTGACCCAATTTAAAAGGCTCAATTTTTAGACCAGCAATAGTTGGCCCAAGCCCACCCATTAGCAGATACTATGGAAAAGAAATGGCAGCCACCAGGACTGAAGCAAAACTCTCATTCAGTTCTGCCTTTGAAGTTCATTGTAGTCCAGTTTGGAGATGTATTTCATTGAATTTGGAATGAGAATAAAATTTGAAGATAACTTCCCTTCTAAACATGACCCTAGGAAAATATTTGCTAAAATTCCCTTTTTCTGATAGTATGTGGAATGCACTAGGAGGGACTAACCCAGTCTCCCAAGAATGTGGGAACATGTTGATTGTCTCCCAGTATCTGCTGCCTGTCTCAGTGATTTGTACGTGCATTGAGCTGGCTCACACTGGCTCACGCATCACGTCCACCTCTGCCCAGCTCTTCACTCTGGGAAGAGTCAGTGGTGGCTTGAGATTGTCCACCTTGAAGATATCACCACACGTAAATCAATAAGTGAGCCAACAACCCCCACTTTCATTCTTTCAATTTTTCTCCAATCAGCTGGTGGTTAAGCATTTACCTTGCGAGCTCTGACAATTGTTCTTAATCGTTGTTATCTAGTAACACCCACAGCACTCAGTCCAGGCTAGTCTTCTTGGGAATGTAACTCCACCCTTCGATATCAAGGCATCTGAAAACAGGACAACTTATGTGTTAAATATCCCAGAGAATTGACCTAATGGGAATCACCATGCTGTACTTTTCAGAATTTTCAAGAAACTTGAAAGAGATTTTCTTTAAATACCTCCTAGTATCGTCAGAAAAATCAGAAATTTATTAGATAATGTCAGAGAAAACAAGAGAAAGGGGGGAAGACACATTTATCAAAAGAGTCAGTCCTTCAAAAGTTTTCCTCAACTCTCCCTATTAATCTTGTATAAATTTTCATTGTTGATTTTTGTTGTTGTATAAAAACTTTGGGCATAGTCTAATATATAGAAAGAACAATGTATCTTCTTAGCTGTGCTGAATAGGGATATGTTGTAAGGTGCTGGCCAAAACTTCAACCTCAGTCAGTGTGTTAAACAGTGTAATTATCATCTTAGAAAATGATGTGACAGTGTCTAATCCTTCTCTATGCAAGAAGAGAAAAGCACATCTCCTCACAAAGCAACTTCGTTCATTGGCATGAGCTAGAAACTGTGAATACACACATACATTACAAAGAAGTAGTTGAGAAGAACCAGGAACAATAATACAGGTCCAGTGGCCCAGGCTTCTGACCTCAACATTTAGGAGGTGGTACAGTAAGGATTGAGGTTTCTTTGCAGTAATGGTGCAAATTGGTGTATTGAGCAATTCTCGGTATGGGTCACTTCCTTCTGGCTAGCCAGTTTCTCATTATTGACACACACGTGTTCCTCGGGTTTTCCCTCTCTGACTGCAGGCAAAAGTTTGGAAGTTAGGCTCAACTTTTCAACTCCCGGGAAATTCCTCTTAGGACACAATGCGCGCGGGGGCGGGTTGGGACACTGTTGCAGACGTGATTCAGCTACATTTTTGAGCTCCGCCCCGTTGAGGGTCCAGGGACGTCTGCCTGCTTAAAGGCCGCTCTCCTGTGAGCAAGTAATTAGCACTCTCTTCCCTGCACGCTGTCCGGGGAGCAGCAGCTCCACCCTGCATTATGGACCCTGCTATGCCCCTGGGACTGTGGCTTCTGCCGCTGCTCCTGGTGATTTCCGCTCGGGGTCTCGCTTCAGCATCCACCCAAGGTATCTGTCCAGGATCCATTCCTCTTACCTCTTTTCACCCACCGCCCAGGGACGTGCTTTCTTGCTAGGCTGTCCCCAGGGCCTCTGCCAAGGGGAAGTCCTTCATAGTTACTGTAGAAACTTCTGCTGAGCTCTGACTCCAGACCTTCCAGTCCTTGGTAGGCACAAAATTTGACCTTCTCTCCTGTTGTTTTTCTTCCGATTACAGGGAATAACTTAGAGATCTGCCTTTTGCCTTTGGAGAGGGGACCTTGTCGGGCTCTCATCTCCAGGTTCTACTATAATAGGAACCAGCAGAGGTGCCGCAAATTCAAGTACGGGGGCTGCCTGGGCAATGCCAACAATTTCCACAGTCGGGATAGCTGTGAACACACTTGCGGGAATATCGAGAGTAAGTGGGGTGCACTGGGCTCAGCTAGCGCCTGCACCAAGAGTCGGTCAGAGCTCAACAGATTTTCCAGGTCTTGCTGAGTCAATTGATTTTTAACCTCAAGTTTCCGAAGTGCTAAGCAAACTTCGCTGACTGCTCCCTCCCACCTCCACCCCGTTTGTTATTAGTTCTCTGAGAATTTCAGAAAATATGTGTTGATCATTTCCATCTCGTTTCTTCCAGATCCATGCCCCCTTTCCTACCCACCCAACTTTGTACTTCCCCAAGCCCTACAGAGTAGAGTTTATGCTGTCTGTATACTCTTGGACATGTGGAGAGTGGTCACCCCACCTGGGGCTATGATTTTAAAGAAAATTGATTTTGCCCCAAAATCAATTCCTTTGTTAGGGGTGAGACTTTGTGCCCATCTCCCTTATGATTGTTTCTAAGTTTTCCCAAAGTTTAACCCCAAATCTACAACCACGAACAAAGCTCCTCTCTCTGTCAGATTTCATTGCAATGCAGTGCCTACGTGAACTTTGGGAAGGATGAATGAGTTCATCTTAGACCATCAAAAATGCAAGGGAAGGACATCATTACTCTTTCTATATCCACCATTATTTCCAGAAAAAAAATGGTCTCTGAGATACGGGATACTTTTATTGGTTTTTACTTTTGAGGAGGGATTTCTCTTGGAATATAACTTTAATTTTGTTTCTTGGCTTAATGTAGTGGGATAGCTAAACTTCACAAGAGTTTGTTTTCTTTTACTTTGCCATTTTATAATTGTATTGATTAAGGATGATATAGGGCTGTGGCCACCAATGAACTTAGTCAGGAAAAAAATGTGTATTGAACTGAATGAATTTGTATGCAGAAACAATCAGAGAACAGTCTTCAACTGAAGCTGAAAGCCATGTCACAGCTGAGTCAGGCTTCATACACTGTCTAGAAGTGTACTTTCTGATGAAAGGACATATTTTTTGGAATATAGTATTCTAGTATGAAATAAGATTCTTGTACCCCAGTAGTTTTGGAAGTTATGAGAAAGTTTTGAAAGTACTGCTTAGAAGGCTGCTTTGATTTTCTTTATAATCTTACTAATTTCTTTGGTTAGCATGCAAAACAGTGGACTTTCTTAGGCTCCTTCACACATATATGCCATTGTACTTTATGTCCTTCTCCCAGCACCCTGAGCACTGTTTCTCATTCTCTGCTCTGTTTTTTCTGGTCATTTTGCCTTCATCTCTTACACCACATGCACCCTGTACAGTCTTTTTTCCCCTCTCGCTGCTTGGAGCTTTCTTCCCTGTCCCACATTTCTGCCCTTCAACTTTCACTATACATAAGCATCAATCTAGATCCTGCATATGTGGTGTTGGCCTTTTTGAGCATGGCTGAGTTTGTTTTCCATGATGATCTTCAGTTCCACTCATTTCCCTGGAAATGTCATTTCCACTACTATTTTCATCTGAAAACATTCCATTGTACATTCAGCCACATTTACTTAAAGAGTCGTCTGTTGTTGGACAGCTAAGATATCTGCTATTGTAAAGAGTACAGCAATAAGCATGCATGTTCAGATATTTCTATGGTGTGTGCACCCAGGGCTCTTTAGATACACGCTTGAGTGTAATAGAGTTGGGTCAGATAATAGTTCTATTTCTACATTTGGAGGATCCCCCCCAACACACTGACTACCATAGTGGCTATACCAGTTTACTTTCTTATCAGCAGTGAATAAGGGCCTACTCTTCTTGCCCCAACCCCTTACAGCTCTTGCTTATTTCCTTGATAATTACCAAGGAAGACTATTGTGGGATATTTATACACTGTGTGAAGGTGCACTGCTGTTGTTGGTATAATAAAATGCTGACCAGTCAATGGGTAGGCAGGAGGTACAGGTGGGACTTCTGGGGACAGGAAGGACTTTGGGAAGAAGAGTGGGGTCGCCAGCCAGATGAAATGCCACACGGCAGAATGTCTGTTAATATAAATGGGTTAATTTAAGTAATAAGAGCTAGTTGAGTGAAGTCTAAACTGAAGGCCAAGCTTTCATAATTAATAAGAAGTCTCCGTGTTGTTATTTGGGGTTGGTGGGGGAAAAGAAAGCCTGCTACAGAACACTTCTTTGAGTAACATGTTTTATTACCTCTCCATTCCCCCAGAAGTTCCTCCAATTTGTCGGTTAAAACTCAAAACGTACCCATGTGACAAGCCTTATGTAGAATACTTCTTCAATCTGAACACCATGACATGTGAACCCCTTAGCCTTGATCTGTGTAGCAAAAGTATGAACATATTCCCCGATGAAAATGCTTGTAAGAAATTCTGTGAACCAAGTAAAAGTGAGTATTTTAATTGTGTGTTTCTATTCAAGATTTTTATCAATATTTTAAGGGAAAATTAATAATTTGATCTAAAATTAACTTGGTTTACTTGCCAGGGATTGCATAATCATGTGATATTGGTCATGTATGTATGTGTGCTTGTATGTGTTTCTCAGAAATCAAACCTAGACTGTGTCGATATTCACAACTACTGCCCCAAAGGAAGCAGAATGTCCTTATTTTTCCATGTGTGGGTACTAGATTAATGATGTACACAATTCTCAAGACTGCACCAACCATCACAAAGACATTAACAAATGTTGCTACTTTTTCTCTTGTTTCTGGAACACTCCAATTGGACATCTCTAATTAGAAAATCTAAAATTTGAACAACTTGAAAATCAGAAAGTTTTGAGCATTGGCCTTGCTTCACAAATGGAAATTCTTATGCTTGACCTAAATTGATGAGGGGCAATCAAAAATCAGGCACTACTATCATCACATTAAATTGTCTTCAAATCCTGCACTAAAGGAGATTGTGAAACATGAACTTCCTGTTTGGAAGTGCATCTCAACACCACATAGGCAAGACATATATATCATTTTGCATATGTAGATGTTCCAAAATTTGAAACACCCTGGAATATGAAACACTTCCCAATCATTTCATATAAAGAATATTCATCCTGTATTACATAAAAATAGAGGAAGGATCTAATGGATGGGAGCGGAGAACAAGAGTGGACATAATGCTTTTTTTTCTCATATTTTCTGGTATATATCTATGTATGAACGAGGAAGCAGGGACACTATAGGAGAAGTAAATGGGTCAGTAGCATTGGTGATAACAAATGGGAAATGTAATGTGGGATTTAAGCACAATGAGAATAAAAATGTCATGATGTAAACTATTTTTATACCAAAGAAAGTAATCGATAAAAAACATAGTATATACCAATAAGTGCTGAGACTTCAGAAATGCATGGAAGTGGTTTTGTGTACGAGACTGTGGAATACATAGGGCTGAGACTTTGTTTGAGCTTTTATATGCTTTGATAATTGCAAATCATATCACAGTTTTCTGCCCTGCTTTTTCCCCAACTCTTCAACCGTTTCCACCAGATATAGTAGGGACATACAGATCTTAAAATGTTAAATCCTGAAGTTCTGTGGCAGGCCTCTGTGGCTGTACTGTGCTGAATATACAGAATTAAATATTGAATGTATGTAAATGTTCCAGTGATAGTACCAGCCCAAAAAGTTTGTCAAGGTATGCCACATACCTTCCTTTGGAACTTAACCCATTTTTAGCATGTTGAGTTGGACACTTACTTTCTTTTTACATACAAAAGGTAAAAAACATGGCTTTTATAAAAGGGGTTATTTTAGCTGCTTATGAAATTGAGAAGGATGTATATGGGAGGCGTTGACTGGCAGAGGACATGATGTAAACATAGTGCATATATATGAACATTAAATTTTTAACTTAATAAAAAATAAATGATCAAAATGAAGGAGGTAACCTTCCTTACAACCTGGACTCACATTTTGAAATGGTTCGGTGTCTTGGATTCAGTATGAGGCCTGTGTGGGATTTTCTTCAGCTATTTCACTGACCATCAGCATCTCTTACTTTGGTATTACAGCATTTTTAATTTCTTTTTCATACAGTTCCATCATTTTGCTCCAGTCCAAAAGATGAAGGCCTGTGTTCTGCCAATTTGACGCGCTATTATTTTAATTCAAGAAATAAAGCCTGTGAGACCTTCACCTACACTGGCTGTGGTGGAAATGAAAATAACTTTTATTACCTGGATGATTGTGACCGTGCTTGTGTTAAAGGTAGTAAAGCTCTTCATATTCAGTCATTACACAACAAGAATGAATAATTCAAAAGGAAGATTGTATTTTCTATATCCATTTCACTAGTGCCAAATGGCCATGTCTAGACTAATCTTTCAAAGACAGTGCTTGTGTGCCGATTTGGTTTGTCAGAGGCACATGCTGGCTCGCTGTAGCAGACAGTAGGCATGCTCTCCCAGTTTCAGATGTAGATCATTGGCACCCGAACGCCTAATGAGTTAAGCTGTGCTTGTACCCAGGATAGATGAAATGAGGTGAGGTCATAAGTATTCTGAACAATTTGATTGAAAGTGAGTTTCAGACTAAAACCTTGTGATGTTAATTGCAATTTTGTTGTCTTTAGCCCCAAAGAAGTCAAAGAAAAGGAAGACAGAAAGTGGTTTCAGAATCAGAACAAAGCCCAGACGTTGGAATCCACGTTTGAAGCATTCCCTTATACTTGAGGAAACAAATCGTTAGTAATTTATTCATCTGATTTTACTGTTATGTCACTTTTTTACTTATGTTTTTTATTCATAACAAGCTGCCTTCAAATGTTAAGTTAAAATTTTTAATTTACTGTTCAAATATTTAAGTGACTGAATCCTTTCAGTTCTCAAATATAAATGTGAACATGAATCATCCAAATTCTTGGGGTGGGTTAGTCCTCATTTCAGAAGACAGTGGTTACTAAAATGGCATAAGTCAATATAAATTGTGCAATTTTAACATATATGATCATCAACAAGAATGGTAAAACCATTTAATTACAAACTTAAAAGTTTAGGTTGTATTTTAGACTTCAGGAGACAAATTGCTGTTTTTCGAACACTTTACACAATCATCCCAGCACTTACACTTATACCTTGCCTTCCATTCCTGTCTTGTCAGATTTCAGTATAATTAGGAAGAGCAGTTATTTCAAAGTTATAATTATTACTGGATGAATTTAAGATGTGGATAAATTTATGTAATTCTGTGTCTCTTTATTTTCTCATATCTGACAAACTACATTTTCCATAGATGACATTCTTTGACAATATGTGTTGTATTATTTCCTCAGACAAAATTTTCTGGAAAACAATGACATTACTAGATCTTTTGTACATGTAAAATGTGTCTTCCAAACACATGTATGATTTAGTAACTTGAATTTCACAAATAAATTATTTTTAAAAGTGGTTATTACAAGAAGATAGTGTTTTTCTTTTTTAGTAAAAGGAAAAATTAAGAAAAATGTAATATATCTTTTTAGAAAATTCAACATTTAAAAGTAATTCTTTAGCAAAATTACAAGAACATTTGGTCTTTGACTGAGAAGACACTTACCTGAAAATCTATCACAGTTATTTTGGAAACACTGGTGTGCTTGAGAATATTGACCAACGCAGAAAACTGGAAACCAACCATATGTAAAGTGACACATGGGGCATGAGCAGAGTGTCTCTGTGTGTGTATAATCAGACCCAAAATTCAGTGAGGAAACTGGGACCAGGCAACAAGAGCAAACACAGACATTCTCAGATGTCATGGAGGATGTCGACTCATTTAAAATGATAGCCTAGAAAAGGACATAGGCAATAAACAGTTAACGAATGGGAGACAAGTTTTATGTAAATGATCCTTCTGTAGTTTTGACTTTGGAACATGCTGTGTTTTATGTAAGTTTACACAAGTTAAAGGAAAGAAATTGGGCATTTTTTGAACACTGAAAAAAATGTAGCCAAGGAACTATTGAACAGTAAAAGAAGTACAAACAAGATATAGTTTTAGTTTTGGTGGCTTTCAGAACCAGTACATGACCTTAAGTGGCAGTATTCCATTTAAGGATTTAAACATTCTAATGAAATCAGAGAAAGTAAGGAAAAGTTCTTCAACTGTGATTAATTATTTCTAAACTGTTGCTGCTATTCTGAACCCATATGTATAGATATTTTATGGTGCTATATATTCAATAAAATAGGAGACTTCTTTAAAGGAGATTTTAGTTTCAAGAGAAAAATATCTAGAAACATGCTTGGAAAAACAAATAGAAATCTTTCCTGTAATCAAAGACTACTTGTTTGCTCCCACCTATCCAGACCTAAAATAATTACACAGAAACTATATTAAAGGCAATACTGTTTGGCCAGTAGCTTAAGCATATTTCTAGTTAGCTCTTATATTTTGAATTAACCCATTTCTATTATTTTGTATTTTACCACAAGGCTCGTAGTTTACAGGTAAAGTTCCCAGCCATCTGTCTCCTTTGGTGGCAACTACATGGCTTCTCACTGACTCTGCCTTTTTTCTCCCAGAATTCAGTTGAGTTTTCTTGCCTAGCTCTATTCTGCCCTGTCAAAGGCCCAAGAGCATTCTTTATTAGCCAACGGTATTCACAGCATACAGAGGGGAATCCCACATCACTTTCCCACCATTTTTCTTTTATTTCTTCAAACATTACATCCTGACCACAGTTTCCCCTTCTCCCTCTTCCCAGTCCCCATCCTTCTTCCCCAGATCCACTCCTCCTCCATTTACTTTCAAAAATAAAAAAAGAGCATGCCTCCCAGGGATATATCAACAAAACACGCATAACAAGTTACAATATGACTTAGCACAAACCTTCATATCAAGGCTGATGAGACGACCCAGGAGGAGGAAAAGGAACCCAAGAGCAGACAAAAGGGTCAGAGACAGCCCCTGCTCCCACTGTTAGGAGTCTCACAAGAACACCCAGCTACACAACTATAGTACATTATACATATGTATGATAGTTGATATGCAGAGAACCTAGCTCAGACCCACAGGATCCACAGCTGTTTCTTCCATTTCTGTGATTCCCTGTGTACCTTGCTTTACTGATTCTGTGGGCCATGTTCTTCTGGTGTGGTGTCCTTGATCCTTATGGATCCAGAAATCCCACTCCCCCTTCTATGGGGTTCCTAGAATTTCAACTAGTATTTGGCCATGGGTCTCTGCATCTGCTCCCATCAGTTACTGGATGACTCTCTGATAATAATTGGCTTAGGCACCGGTTCTATAAGTATAGCAGAATGATATGATTGAGAATCATTAGAATAATTGCATTCATCTATCCAGCCTGGTACTTGCTCATCCAGGCAGTGTCAGAGGTTGGCTCCCTCTTGTGGCTTGGGTTTCAGTCATTTGGCCACTCCCACAAGCTCTAAGATATCATTGCCCCAGCACATCTTAAAGCAGGAGAAATTGTAGATTGAAGATGTTATGATTGAGTTGGTGTCCAAGTCCCACTGCCAGAAGACTTGCTGGGTTATAGAAGATGGCCAGTTCAGGCTCCGTATTCCCCACTTGTAGATGTCTTCTCTGGGATCACTTTTGAAGATTCCACATTCTTCTGCATGTGCCCAGCAAGTTCATTTGTCTTTTCCTGCACTCGCCCTTCATCCCTTCCTTCACCCCTGCCTATTTCCTGCTGTTCCCATCCCCACCTGCCTCCAAGTTTGAATTAGAAATATTATTAAGAACACAGATGTCATGTTTTTCCAAGATGCATCTTATTCCCCAGCTTCCACTAAAGCTCCTTAGAGCAGTGACAAGTAACACTAAGCACACTTGTTCCTCACATCTTTTTATCTTAATATCATACTTTACCAAAAAAGAATTGGCATTCTTAGGAAAAGTCCCCAAACATAACTCTAATGTAAGAACTATTCAGAGAAGCCTGGGTCATATTATTCTAAATTTCAAGGAAGGAATCAAAAGTAGCTCACACTGATATAAAAGAAGACAATATTAGCATCAAACCAAATAAGGGCCTCAATACATAAAAACATATAAATGTATAAAAACTGCATGTATAGAACACATGCGCATGTACACCTGTACAAATGGGCACATACAGTTACACACACACACACACACACACACACACACACACAACCGAGGCACACATAAGCAAAAAGCATAAAGTTTTTATTTGATGATTTATATCTCCTTTATCACAAACACTGCGACAACCCTGGAAACCGACATAGGGCTTAAAATTCTCTGTGCTGTGCTAGCTCCAAGTCTTCATCTTGCCTCCAAGCTTGTAGACTATTAGCTAAAGATCGCATCCAGTAAGGAACTATCCTTCCCATGTCTGCTCTTGGGCTGGAGAAATCCCCAAGACGGTGCAATTGGGAATAAACCTCTAGGATGACAATGGAGAGCAGATCTAAGAGAAAGTCACGTGTATGGTGTCTTTTGATCCTCTTTCGCCTGGCGAACTTTGTGACAGGGCAAGAATAGATCTTTACAAGTTTGTGCTTCTATTAAAGTTTCTCTTTCAAAAATAAAAATGAGGAACTATATAAATGTGCCAAGTTCTACTTTAAGAGTAACTATGTATTATGATAAGCTGGCCTACATGGGTGTAAGAAAAAAATGAGAATCAGAATCATTCAGAGTAATTTCTTTCCCCTTCAGTCACTAACAATTATCTATCAAATATGTGTATTTAAGTTTGTTATGACCATTCTTCTCACATGCTAGGATAATCAAAACAACCTGATTACCTTCCTGATGAGGCCCACTCATACCCAATTATCTACACTAGGGCCAAGGCACTTTCAGAGAAAAAAAAATTCTGATCAGGCTATTCATTTTTTTAAAACTCTGTAATGTTTTTCTATATATTAAAGTGTGTGTGTTGTACATATAAATTTATGTATTTATATGTATGTATGCAAGTGTGTACACAGGACAAAAGTTGACATCACACTTCTTTCTTGATCGCTCTCCACCTTACTTTTGGAGAGAGAAGTTTTTACTGAGGTGCATCAATTTGTATATGCTCTAGAGGTCCACCTGTCTCTGCACACACACACAAACACACACACACACACTACATGCTACTACTTCCAGCTTTAACATGGGTTTATGCTAGCACAGCAGGAACATTTTCCACAAGCCATCTCTCCAGCCCCATTTTCCTACTGAATCTTTACACTAGTCTCCAAATCATTATTGTGTTGCTTATAACTAGACCTTCCTGTATCCTAGACACAAATTCTTCTCAATTCTAACATCACCTCCAACCATAATTCAGTAGTATTATATTATTTGAAAATTTGAAAGCATGCCACAGAGCTTAATTTATAGAAGGTGGTTCTCCAAATTTATGCATGATTATAGGAGGCTTGAGATGTACATATGGATGAACATCAGTCCTCCACAGTTAGTTATGTCTGTTATGTGATGATGACAATAAAGATGCACATGGCAAACAATAGCTCTGAAATAGTAGAATGGAGACTTGGAAAAACTGAGAAACACTCTTTTGTGTTTAACTCTACATTTTGTCTTTGAAGAGTTATCCTCCCTTCATGTAAACATCTCATAAACTTATTCTACTTTGAATTGTTAAAATAATTCTAGACCTCTTCAAGCAGGCTTACTCATTGATCCTAAGAACTTGGTTAGCCATGCAAATTCCTAGTTACACTGGTGCTGCATTGAACTATTTTCCTAACA